CTGGATTAGATCTCAGGGCTGTGTTCTGGATTAGATCTCAGGGCTGTGTTCTGGATTAGATCTCAAGGCTGTGTTCTGGACTAGACCTCAGGGCTGTGTTCTGGATTAGACCTCATGGCTGTGTTCCGGATTAGACCTCAGGGCTGTGCTCTGGACTAGACCTCAGGGTTGTGTCTTCCCGGCTACTTCCAACCTGGAAATAGCATCATTCCCCATGACCTCTGTGATGTCATCATGAGGGCACTGCTGCAGATTCGTTACTCATCATAATTAGGGGCGTCACTCCAGCACCCCACTGGCATCTCCGTCGCTGTGGAGATTCAGTCCATCCACATTGTTCCTTCTCCGCTTTGACCTTCATCTTTTCCCTGCATCATGGCTCTTCTTGTAATAAACACAAAATGAGGCAGATTCATTCTTCATTCGTCGAGGGGCGATTAAATGGCATTGTAGAATCGTGGGCCCTCAAACACCTTCTTCTCCCGCCATGGTGGATCGTGTTGTGGGTTCCTTGGCCTTATTCATGTACCGTATGGCTCGGTGTGAGTCAGAGCATCGCCTGCCAGAGATACTTCTCCTTGCGTGTCTGAGTGCACAGGCCAGATGTGCGGTGAGCGTTAGGTTTTCGCGTCGACGGGCGGGGGGGTGGTGGTGGGGGGTAGCCCTGGAGGAGATCCAGAGACACGTGCGAGGGGTCTGGCACTGGTGAGGGGCCCTGCCAAATTCGCTACAGCACTGGGCACCATTTCAGCTGGACGGCTGCGACCGCCTCCCCTTCTGACATTGTTTTTGTCACTTTCGTGTTATATTGCCGTCTGACTAAACAGCTTCTGTTAATGACGGCTGATCACAGGAACCCTCTTCGGCCCTGGCGGATGGCATGCGAGTTTGTTCTGGCTTAACCCCCCCCCCGATTTCTTTGTGTCTGCAGGAGGTACGGGAGATGGTGAGCCCCGTGCTAAAGAGCTTCCAGGCCCAGGTGAGGATTGCCTCCCCCCCACCCAACATGCTTATGGATGCAGCCTATCAGACTCCCCCAATTTGGGGCAAGCACCCCACCCAAGGAGTAAATTAGTGCAGAGTGCAGGGAGATGATGATGATGATGATGAGAAGCCACC